TCATAGAAAATTAAATAAACAAAATCAAATAACGACCATGAAAATAATAATAATAATAATAATAATAATAATAATAATAATAATAACAAAAAGATATTTGAATGTTCGATTTAATTAGAAGAGAAAGAAAGAGAGAGAGAGAGAGAGAGAGAGAGAGAGAGAGAGAGAGAGAGAGAGAAAATCGAATTCAAATTGAAAAATAATATTACTTAACTTTTTTACCCGAGGAAAAACGATAAAAGCTCAACGTGATACGTGGAAACCTTTTAAAAGTTCCAAGAGCTTATAATGCGTATATCCAATTTAAGAAAGTGTACGTATGTAGTGTCTATATACATATAATATGTATGCATGTATCAGTGTATACGTATATGATCGTGTACAGATAACTACATACGCGAGAATGTATATTATATATTCTGTTTAAATGAAGTTTCTAATTAAAAGCAATGCTTGGGAACCGTGAGAAATTTCAACGGGACAACATTTTCCTTGATAAAGTTTCACCGATCTAACTCTCTCTCTCTCTCTCTCTCTCTCTCTCTCTCTCAATTTTCTATCGAATAGAAATTTTCTATGTTGCCATGTTGAATATTGAAAGAGAAATTAATTTAATAAAAATCGAAGAATCAAATTTCTAATGTGATATATTTAATATATTGAACATTTTTAAAATCGATCGATAAAAGAAAAATAAGAAAGAAAGAAAAAATGAAAAAGTAGAAAAATTACAAAAAAAAAAAAATTTCACTAAATTTACTTATGTATATGTAAAAAGAATTGTTCCATTCGAAGTTGAATATTAAAAATGATCGATAAAATTAAAATGAATTTTTTCTTGATGAACTTTCATGATTTTAATCCTATCGAAGAGAAATTCTTTCTATGATGAATTTTTCATTCAAGTTTACGATACTGATTGAAAAATTATCTATCATTATATCTGTACAATTTAAAAATAGATTTGTAAAGAGAATTTTGTTCCTCGCACGAAGTCGTGTATAAAATTGGATTGAAGGTAAAAAAAAAAAAAAAAACAAAAATAAAGAAACAAGATAGGGAGGGGAAAAAGAGGGAAAAAAGAAGATAGAAAGAAAAGAAAAAACACGAAACACGTAGTTTCTTCGAGAAAGTTATTCTTCGTAGAATTAAGTAATGATTTTGAATGAAAAAAAAAAAAAAAAGAAAAAAAAAAGGAAAAAAAATAAATACGTCCTATTGATTATTATTTCGATAGAATTTAATTATTATTTCGATCAATTTATAAAGGAGATATTCGAATATAAAATTGAATGAGAAAGAGGGAGAGAGAGAGAGAGAGAATAAGAAAAATATAAAACAAAGAAGAAAAAACATTTGGCTTGATGAAGTTTAATGATCCAAAAAAAAAAAAAAAGCAATTCATAAAGGCGGACTCTAAGATAGATTCTGAACTAATTTCCATAATCTTCAATCCATCCTGCCTTATCAAACTACACCTACTGGTAAATCGATTTGTAAAGGGATATTCGATGAGTCGAGTAAAAAAAAAAAAAAAAAAAGAAAGAAAGAAAAAAAAAATAATTAATCTCGTCGATTGAAAAAGGAAAAAAAGCAAGATGATAAATTTTCTTCCGGTATATACAACAAATTTTATCCCCTTCACCTCATTAAAATAAAAGAAAAGAAAAGAAAAGAAAAGAAAGAAAGAAGAAAGAAAAATAAAAAAAAAACCAAAAAAAGACAAAAAAGGAAATTTTATACTGCGAATAAAAGAAGTACATATATTTGTCCTTCTTCGATACAATTTATACGATCGATTTGTAAAAGATACAATCGAGCGTAAAATCGTCAAAGGAAAAAAAAAAAAAAGAGTAAGAGAACTGAACTAAATAAAAACATACTTTCCATGACAATAAATCAACATGGATCTTGAAACTTGAAAAAGTTC